GGAGCCGCCGGTGTCCCGGCGGCGGTGACACGCCACGCGCGCCGCTGCGCGCTCCCTCGCTCGCTCGAGACTTGGGTTTGTCCAGCCGCTTTCCCCGGGCTCGGCAGGTGGTAGATGAAACGTGCTTCGTTTGCTTCGCGCCCCGTCCAGCTCGTCCCTTCGCGCAGAGCCACCGGCGTTTCCGTGGACTCGTTAACCTCGCCGTCACCTCAGGTGGTCGGGGGGAGACTTGAGGGCTCGCAAAAGTCCGCGTGACTTGTTCGAAGTACTTGGTGCTAGCAAAAAAGACGAGGATTGCTGGGAAACCGCGATGCTTTGCAGGGTAGGGTGGGGATTTTCTTGTCTTGTTTTACCCGCATCATTTGTATTGACACCTAAGCATGAATTCTGTGAGAGTGTTTGTGAGTTGGGAGAGAGGTCAAGGTGGATCCGGCTTAAGGTAACAACAAATGTAACTTGCAGTTGGTAGCACAGGTATTTTGCAACAGACAAATATTTTTGTGCTGATTTAGGGCCTCATAGGATTTAGCTGTTGGAGCCACTGGATTTCTGCTTTGTCTGTAGCGTGGTTCTGCCCTTGGACAAGTCAACACTGTTCTGTGGCACTGGCTTCACCAGGACAAAAGTTAGGGTAATTGGTTTAAAACATAAAGTTTGCAAAGTGTTTAGGACTTCTGGATCAATCTGAATTTTATTTTTGCTCTATTTTAAAATCTTCTTTTCAGGTGTGAACAAAAGTGGTCCTTGGGCTGAGGCTTCATAAAAGAAGGTTTGGTCTGACGGTTTTAATGGCACAGGCGAAGACCTTTGGAAAAGAGCTTTTATCATGGAAACCAAGTGTCTGTAAGAATTAACTAAACCAGCATCATTTAGAAAAAAAAAGTTTCTGAGAATGCAGAAAGACTTTCTTCTTCGTTTCCGCTCAAGTGAGAACAAGTTGTAAGTTCAAATTATGTTTGAATATATAAAGTTGTAAGTTGTTCTCCAAAATACTGGGGGAAGTTTATTTAAAAAAAATATGTTTAAAGGTGTTGGTTTTCCCACTTCCCCATGCATGCACACACTGCTCTTATTACAGGAATTGTAGAAGTCTTGAAAACTGTTGGGAGGACTAAAATGAAGGGAAATGTTCCAAAGGCTAAATATCTGAGCAACCGGTCATGATGGTAAATGCATTTTAAATAACACTTTTGGAGGTACAGCTTTTATAATAATAATAAAAAATATATGTGTGTAATATATATATATATTTTTTTTTTAAATCTCTGACCAATGGATTGGTTATTAGATTTAGGATAAAAGAAAAGGTAAATCAGCTTAAAAGACTGATATGATTATGGCATTTAAATTAAGGATCCAGTTTTCTCCCCTTTGTAATAGGGGAAGAAGCTGTTGCATCGTGATGAAGCAAAATTAAGAAGAGTTAGTTGGAGTATTTCTTGTTATGCGTTTTCATGAATAAAGCTGTCAACTGTGTCTGTTCTAGACATCGGTAATCAGGAAATACTGTACTAACAAAATGTATGGAATCCTCTCTTGTCGGCGTCTTGACAGCTAGACAAAACTAAAAACTAGCTTCCCACCAGTCCAATGGTCAGTCTCCCACTGGAACATGAAAATATTCTCCCATTCATGTTGGTATGTTCTGGTTTTCAAAACCTGAGTACAAAGAAGTTAACACTGTGAGTATGAGAGTCACTGCAGTTGATGTTTTGATTTTTTTTTTTTTTTGGTTAATGGTTCCCATACTTGTCCAATTTCCTTGTTACTCAAAATAATCTATAAATAATTTTATGGGCATTGAATTGTAAATGCAAGTTTGCATGCAGAAGCTGGCTGTTATACTTCAGCATCCTGGGCCAAAATTTAAAATATTGAAAATACTCATTCTAAAAGATAAAGAAGCTCTTCAATTATTCCTGGGACTGAATTAGGTTTTCATGTGCTTCTATGTGATTATCTTTTAGATATGTTCTGATCTAGCATTAAGAGCTATTTGGTGTTGCTGCTGGTTTGACTAATTAGGTGATTTCAGGTCACCTCATCCAGAATTAGTGTTTTGCTACAGAGAGTCTTGTGCATCTATTTTTTTTTTTTTTTTTTAACGTGAAATACTGCAGTCCTAGATCAAGACAAGTTTTTTTATGAAGGCCACCTGTACCCTAAGTGTATGGTTCATAATATAGAAGCCAGTAGAATTTCTTATGTTGGAAAGTTACTGACTAGTTGAGCATTGGCTGAAATGAGCTCCAGACTGGCTTTTGTGGCTTATAAGATATCAGCTGATCTACAAAGGAGTATTATTTGCCCCTACTGCATCTAAACAATGCATTCCTTCATTTTTTGTGTAACATCCTCTTTTGTCATTTCTTGTGTATGTAGATCCGATAACTGGAAAGAGAAAATTCTGCTCTTAAATTGCTGCTCTTCCCTGCCCTTACCCCCCCAGTGTAGCTGGATAATTGGTCATTAATGGGAATTTACAATGATATTGATCACGAGTATCAAGGAATGCTGGGCTAAAGGAACAAAAATGTGTATGGGGAAACTATAACTAAGTTTTCTGACAACACAGATTTATACTCCGAGATCCTTAAAATCAATATGGCAGTGCTATAGACAGAATTAAAAAAAAAAAAAAAGGAAAAATAAAAAGCTGAAGTCTTTGGGCAAATAAGCACTGGAGCATACCACCATTTTAAGAGACTTGGATGTTTGTAGTGTGCCTTTTGTCTCTAGTTCGCTTGTTCAAATCTATCCCAGGTCAGTAGTGGCTAGCAAGGTACAAGCAGGAGGGTCAAATTTAGATCCAGAGATGTTCTTGTCTGCTGATATTTGCTCAGAATTTTTGATGTAAGCAGTCCTTCAAGGGAGTTAGACAAGTTCAAAACAATACAATTTCTAGGGCTGACTTTTGGGACTGGTGTATAATTGCTCTAGCATGTGAGTGATTCCCATTGGTTTCTACATTAATTGCTCGCAAATACCGCATAGTTGTGTCACAATGTTCTGTTCTCTAGTTATAAGAGACTAATATACAACTGGGAAGCTCAGACAAGAATGCAGAGAGGTTATTTAAAGCAATGTATAGAATGGGAAGGAACTTTTAACAAACTAGGTGAAGAAGAAATTAATTTGTGTGTGGAATGAACTAATATGTTATAGTCTAGTCTTCAGAAATACTCTTAAACTTGCAAAATCGTATATAAGAGGAATTAGGATACTCTGCACTGTTTTGTTTTCTGATTGTAATCTCCCTTACATTCCAGAGGGAAGTGCTGGCAAAAAAAAGTGCAATGAAAGAGGGATCCATCCAGTGAAAAAAATGAGACAAGTTCCTGATTTTTATTTTATTTTATTTTTTCAGTCCACTACTGAAGAAATAGCATGACTGTTTCAAGTTTCCTTTTATTATGCTTCAGGCTTTCTTGGAAAAAAAACATTTTCTTTGTGTCTTATTTTTCCTTCTCTGTAATGTGGGGATACTTTGTATAAAACTCTGTTCAATGAAGTTTGAGTAAACATGGTTTAAGAAACGTTTTTCAGAATTCTACACAGAAGGCAGCGTGTTAATGAAAAACATTTTTTAAATGAACATAGCATTACAATAACAATGTCTGGTCTTCCTATGTTTCTCATTAAGAGTTCCTACATTTCTGTACATGTAGTTTGTTCTCTGGGCTACACGAGCTAGCAGTACTGTTTGTTGTTGTTGGCTGTCCCGCTCTGTTCCAGGGATGGCACACTTTTCTCTCTCTGGTGTTGTTGTAGTACTGTCACCACTGCCAACCCACAGCTATCAGGGCTGTGTTTGGCTGTGGTGCCAGTTGTTTGCCATCACTGCCTTATTTCGTGTCGTATCCATAATGGCTATTAGTAGTGCTCCGTCGTGTTGGGAAAAGAATGTGTACTTCATCTGTTTGGTGTCGAATACGTGTATCGGAAGGTAATAAAGCAACAGTGTCATCACACATACTGGTTTCTCAATCTGACAGTGCACCTCCCATTAATTGTCTTTAGCATGCAATTATAGTGTTTCCGGTATGTGTCAAAACTGCTCTCTCTTCCAGAGTTTAGTGTAGGATGCTCTCTCCCTTTTCATCTATACAATATCAGGCAGGCCGGTGAAGCCTAGTAGTGAAGTTGCACACATTTTTGCTGGTCTGTAATAAACTGGTCGGTATCTATTTGTAAACCTTCCACAACTTGTATACTATTTTTAAAAAAGTTTTCTGCAATCTTTTGCAGTACCCATTTTTTTCCCAGTTTTCTGTTGTCAAATGTGTTTTCTGTTCTGCCAAAACTATTTGTTGTACTTGTGGTGTATTTAGGACAGGATTTGGTTTTCTTTTTTAAAGATGCATTGTACATTGTCCCTTTTTGTGAAAAGAATACTTAAGAGTATTCATTAGGTTTATCCTTTGACGTTCTCTAGGTAACCAAGCCATTCTTCATATAAATTGGCAAATTTCTTTGTATTTCTTTTCTGAAGCATTAATCATCTTATTATTGTTATGAAGATAGGCTGATGTCATCACAGATAAGTGCTTTTTCTATGGCTGTGATACTTTATCTTGTTAGCCTAAAGATTCCCCTACAGAGTTTAAGCAATGAAAAATAATTATGTGGTTAGCAAAGAGCAACAATTCCAGTTTTTTGTATACATATTACATATTTTGTAACTGAGTATTCAGCTATTCTTACTGCTGTTGGTCATCCAGGCCTGTGAATGTATTTGACATTAAAGGAGTCTTACTGTTGAACTAGGACTTAAAAAAAACTTTCAGCAATATTTGACTGGCTCTACCCTATCCAAGGGGAGGAAAAAAAACAAGAAATGTGCTTCCAGGTTTTGTACCTTACACTATGGTTAGGTTTTGATTCAGAGAAAGTGCCTCAAAGGAACAGAACGTATTTCTTTTTTACACTCAAAATAAGAAGCACCTACTGTAGAAAGGGCATGTTGTACTAAACCTGCTGCGGTAGAGGTGAGTGTTCTCAAGTCTGACAGTTTAAGTAGTGAAGATGAAAGTGAGGACAGTTCTTGGGCAGGGGACTTAAAGAGGAATGTGATTCATAGGACATAGTTACCAGCGTAATTACCAGTGCAGCTGCTATAGTAACTTCTGCCAGTACTAAAAAAAAATCTGTCATGTCCAGTGCTCTGTCGGTTGTAGCGTAAGTGATAGAGAAAAGCAGAAGCATAATATCTTGTTCCAAACTTGCCAACTTCAAACCGGTGTAAACAGATGGGGCTATTTCTGTTAAGTTTTATATCAAAGCTTCACAGGGTTTCCTTAAGTGTTGGGTTGCACTAAAATTTTGGAATTAGAGATGGTAAGTTTTTTTGTTTGTGTTTTGCATAAATAGTAATGAAAGCAGAGATTCAGGTGGACTGAATTTTTCTGATAATGAGTCAAATCTGGCAAATTCAGGCAAGAAATAAAAAACCTAAATTTAATTTAAAACTTAAACCTAATGTACATTTATTTCTGTATTGTGATAAGTAGGAATTTTCAACTTTTCTTTGTGATGATATTTTCTATTTGTCACTTCCTTAAAATGTAGGTCAAATTTTTGAAGTAGTAATATTTTTTCCAGTTTTGAGTGAAACATTTCAGATCTGTTCCAAAATGGAATTTGGGGGTAAGAAGATCTTGGAAAAAAATGGGGGTGAGGGAATAATCTGCTAGACCCAGGCTTCTTTCATGCACATTTCTAGTTCAAATGAGAAAAAATATTGGGGGGACAGTTTTGAAATACTCACCATAAAAAAATTTTTCTTATTTTCTCACATTAACATATCATGCATCATCAGAACTCACTTTTCCAGCACGCAAATGATAAACGCAATTTCTACTTGAAGTGAATTGCCAAAGTTTATACAACAGGCTAGCATCAAAGATGGATCTAGAACGCAGGAACCCTGAAATTTATAGGCAGAGCAGATCTATTTAACTCTCTAGCCCCTACAACTGCATTAACATCATAAAATTTCATCTTTGCAGTAGAAATAATTGTTCTGCCCCATGTAAGAAAATGCTTGGCTTCCTTCCTAGCCATTTAGAGTATCATCTACACACAGACACACGTGTGCGTGTGGGGAAGCCTCCTTGATTTCATTGTCTTCCTCATGCTTTTAAAGGAATTGCAAGATCTTTCTGCACATAACTTTTCACTTGGCTGTCACTTTATTTTTGTCATCTCCACCTCCTGTTTCTTAAGAACTCACCCCCTTTAGTTTGTTTGGCATTCTTGAGTAAAGGCTTTGGTGGCTTGATTCAGGAGAGGTAAATAGGAGTCAGAAGTTCACGTATAGCGAGATATCACAAGATTGTTACTTATTTCATTAAAATAGTCTGTAAGCATTCCTGACTTCTTTCTGCCATTGATTGCTACGGTACAATTCTTACAGGCTTAAATTCAGGCAGAATATGGGTCCTACAGTAAATCTCTAGGGCTGAGCTGTACTGTAGAGAAAGAAGACGCCCTATACTCCCCCAAACACTTCCTGACTGCGGACACAATGGTGGTAAGTCATTTAGCACATCTGCAGCTTTCATATGTCTGATGTATATCTATGTGTGCATTGGGACTCATCCCTAATGAAGTGACCTTTTTTGTGGAAGATGTCTTGCATATTTTCTTTGTCACAGATGTTTATCAGTTTGTCCTGACAAAATGATGAGTAACGATTAGTTGAAACAATCTGGCCGCTAGCTTTGATGTTGGTTCTGCCATGCATGTGCTCTGCACAAATGGAGAACAGCCTTCATGCAAATAGAAGGTATGTTGACCTGGCCCTGGTAACGCAGGCAAGGGCCTGAATGGAATATGAGAAGGAGGGTGGGTTGCATCTTAATTTTTAATGGTGTTTTCACAAATAAGATTCTCTACAAAATGTATTTTGCCCCAAGTTGAGGTGTGTCTTTGTGGTTTCTTTATAATAAAAAAATCCAAGCCTGAAAATAGTAGCTTAATCTTTTTTCCATGCTATCATCTGGCCTTTTTCTGATATGGAGACTAGGGAGGGAACTGCTTATTTTTAAAAATTAAAGTAATCCCTTTTTAAAGCCTATAAACAAAAATAGTTTTTAAAAGAGAGGTACAATTTCTGCTAGTTTAAGAAGCGATCAGCTCATCTCTGAGTTTTTCTTTTCCTCAACAATTAACTTTTCACAGTCTCCAAAGCAGGTTAACAAATAACAGTTTTAAGTCACTTAGTTTCTCTGCTTTTCTTCATGACTTTTTTTTTTTTTTTTTGCCGAATGCACAGGCTTTGTATATTGTGTGTCCATTCCTTTTATGCGCTGTTACATAAATAAATTATTCCATTGTTAAAAGTTAAGGTCAGTCACAGGTGACCAGAGGATATGAAACTTCTGTTTTAGCCAACTCTCTGGAAGAGGATTTTGCAATGCTTCTAATGATCCAAGAACTTGCTGAGCCAGAGACAAATCCAGCCAATAATTGTGATAACTATGAAAAATATTCATGAGATGTACAAATTAGGAGTAAGATTTGCATCCATTTTGTAGATGGGTAAGTTGAGGGTGGAGTAAGTGATGTGTGCATCCTGTGGGAAACAGAGATAGATTAGAACTTAATCCTAACTGACTGTTAAGTTACCCCTGCTATCCATCCCAAAATACTTAGTGCTTTGTAAACATGCAGGCTAGTCTTTGAGAGTAATATGTCTCTTCTATCATTTTTATGCCCAGTTATAAAAAGAAATGCAGCTACTTTTAAGACATACAGGATGAAAATGAAAAACTAATTTAACAATTTGAAGTTCTGACTTGTGCTGGAATGTGTAGATACCTTATTCAAAAACAGAATAAAGTGGCGGTTGTACAAATAGCATATATGCACTGTGTTCTCTAAAACTGTAGTTCACGCATATTTTGTGTCTGCTAACGCAAAAGTAACTTTGGGGATGAAACAGGGCTTTGATAAAAAATCAGTTTTAATTTAGTAGAATGCAGAATGAGGGTTGCTACTTAACTTCTCTTGGAAAGAGGATTCTAACACAGGAAGTCCCTCATGTGCCACTCTAGTAAATGGAGGCCTTCACAAGAAGATACATTTCTCTAGAGCAGTATATTGAATTTTATTAGACATTGTTATTTTCTGGGTAACAGCTAGTTTGTTTGTTGTCCCCCCACACATACACTTCCATTTACAAAGGAAGTCTTCAGTCTTTTGAACATCATACAAAACTGTTCAAAAACAGATTTAAGTAATTGAAATTCAATTAGTTCAACTGGAGCAATTCAGTTGACTCAGCTGAGTTCTGTGATCTGAACAAAAGATTTTGCTTTAATTGTCTAGGAATGTATAAATGGTGATATGACTGGCTTGTTTCCTGTCCTCTAGAAAGATGCAATGTGTTTTCAAGTTTATTGGTATTGGTATACATCTTATTTTACTTCTTGAGGTTCATGTTGTGCCTCAGCCTTTTATGAAGTTGCAGGTGAAAATAGTCTACTGGAAGACAAGTGTTTATATGGTGAATATCGGAGGTTAACAAGTAACGTGCTGCTAAATTTGATACATGGCTCAATTATCCATTCTGTTCTGAGACAGATGATTTTGTAACATCCATACCCGGATGATTTTCGTGATAAATCACCTGAGATAGAAAATTATGATGAAAGTCCTGGTTTTGACTTGAACATCACTACAGTTGAGCCATGAGTGATGTTCAAGTCAAAACCAGAACTTTCATCATCTCGGAAATCGTTATGATATTTATTTTTCTTAAATCTCCTTATACTTCTCAGTCCATAACATACAATAGGGTGCAAAGCTGAAATAAATATATATTTATTCTCTAATAAGAGGACCAAGAGTTTCCAGTAATTAGAAACAGAAATTTGTTCAGTCATCTTGCTTTTGCCACTAGCAGTCATACTCTTTGTGACTTAGGTTTTCTCATAGCATCTGTGACTACCACCAGTTCTTTTCTCAACGTTCCTAGATGCTTCTTCACCATGTCATCTTTGTCCCTCTTTTGGTTTTCTGTAGATAATCAAAAAACAAAGTCTTATTCTTGCTTCCTCAGTCCCTCATTTTGCATAAGCACAAACCTAATGGTCAAACCAAAAGTTCAGTTGCTACCTAGTTCTGCTTTCTGCCCAAATTTAAAATCTCATGCTGTCTTTCTGACATTGTCTGTGGAAGTTAGGCATCAGTTTATGCATCACACAGGTGAATCGGAGATCCTCATCTTCTTCTGCCAGTCCTCCTTGATCAGTGATATCTCAGTTGCAGCAGATAAAGCAGCCTTGTTTACTTCTCATGTAAATTCAAATTGGGCATCATCTTTGAAATAAGCTTCTCTCTAATCCTAGGTAGGATTGTCTAAAGTTCTGTATTTCTTTCTATGTGAGATCTCAAAAATGAGACCTTTAGCCATCCACACATGTAAAACTTCTCTGACATCTCACCATCTAGTTAATCACTCATTTGAATATACTTTTCTGTAGGCTTGACAAATATCATCGCGTCACATCCGTATGGAGCAATGCTGCAAAGGGCATTGTGCAAGATAGTGGTTTGATATTTCATCCCTTTTTGGGTGCTCTGGTCTCATGCTTTGAATAGGAAGTATTTCTCCTTACCTCAGATCCCACGCTGCCTTATGTTTTACCACCTTACTTTAGAGTCAGCCCCCACTTTTGCTTGGTATAATGTGCCAGCCTTTGTTATCTGCTTGTTGCATTTCAAAGTATTATTTCAAACAAGGAGGAGTTCCCCATAAACAACCCCTTCTCTTACAGAGCCTGTAATTTTGCTGTTCTGTAGCGACTATAGAAGTCCTCACAATTATTTGCTCACGTGCCTTTGGGACCATCAGTGTTGTCTTCCTATTTCTTTAGGCCTTGCCGTAAATTCTACTGTTGTCATTTACGTTACGTTTTTGTGCCCACTGTGGAATTGGACCTATGTTTATCCTGTCCCAAGATCTGGCATGAGTTAGTGGCTAGGCCTTATGGACATTAAAGTAAAACAATTAATGGTAGAATATGCAGTAATCAGACACTGAATCAAAAGTATGGAAGGTCATCTGGTTCATACTTCCCTGCAAGGCAGAGTTAGCTGCACTTGCATTCTTCATAACAGCTGTATAGGTGTTTCTTGGAGGTATCTGGTATTGGAGTCTCTGCTCCCCAACAATTTGTTCTACTACCTTGCTGTCCTTGCTATTCACAATGTTTAACCTGAGCCTTGCTTGCTGCAATGTAAAGTCCACTTTCTTCTTGTACGGGCCATGAACAGAAATAAGCTGCTGCTTTTTTCTGCTTTTTTTTTTAATTTTGTTTAAAATACTTGAAGACTTTGGTCTTTTTGTCAGGCAAACCACCTCCATTTCTTCAATTTTTTCCTTGTAAATTGTTTTCTAAACGTCTGATCATCCCTACTGGTTTTCTGTAGGTAGTCTGCATTTGATCCAACCCTTTCTTAAGGGACAGCACTCTAAAGCCGAGTGCTGTACGCCAGCTGAGACCTGGGGTTATATTTGTCTTTCACCCCCGTGTGGTACTGTTGACTCATGCTCACCGTGTAATTTCTCAGCAGCCAACAGACTCTATTCTGCAGCGTTGCCATCTAGCTCATTCTTTCGGTCCAGTATTTGTGTGGTTGAAGTAGCAGTAATAGAGAGTAGCTGCAGGTTTTTTTCTGAAAAAGGGCCTTGCTCTGAATTGTCCAATACGTCAGTGCCAAACTTTTCTTAGAGAGAAGTGTGATCAGTGCAAGGAGCTTGCAGCTCTGACTTGAACTAGAAACACAGAACAGGAAAAGATCCTGAGGCTGTTCAAAAGCCTCTGGTGGATAGAAGCCATCTGATGTTTTCATGCTGGTTTGGATATATCCTTGCACTAACATTGTCTGGTAGGTTAAACAGTATTGCTTCTCTGATGCTTATCCCTTGAGTATGTAGAGGGAGGAATTTTATCCCTTTTCAGCCTTCATTTTTTGTGAATGTCAAGTGAAGCTCCTACGTCCTCCATTAAATCCATTACAAGAATAATCTTCGTTGTTCTTCACTGGACTCGTTCCTTTAATTCTTGCTAACAAGAATAATTAAGATTGTACTCACTTTTCTGATCTATTTTAACCTGAGTGTCACTTATAATACCAGGAATGTAGGTTTCATTGCTCAATCTCGAACCTTAGAGACAACATAAAGAAACATGAGCGTGTCAGAATGGTACTTTGAAATCTGTGGGTCAAGATGCTGAAATCCATCCTTCACACCCACAACATCCGAGGATGCTCCTCGGAAACCTAGGATCAAACTGTTTCCACAACAGAGCCTAGTTAGGCCTTATGTTTAGGTGTGTGTGTGTGTGTGTATATGATTTACATATGATATAACTAACATAATTATGTATGTTTTATATACAGGCGCGCACACACACACACAAGTATGATTTGACTTGTTTTTTTCTCGTACAGATCATGTATTCCCATTTCCGTTTAAGCTAACTTACATCTGGGTAAATGGAAGCACTTTTCCTTTACAGAAATGCTATTACAAAAATAACAGATTTAATCAAATTGGCCTCACAGAATATTCGCAGCTCACCCTCTTGTATGCTCGAGTTCAGCACTGTACAAACAGGATCACAAATTCTTTGCTTACCTAGCAGCAGATTGGCTGTTTAATCAGATGTGCAAAACACACTGTTGAACATACAATACTGGAAAAAGTTTTGATAATTCAGTTTTCTTCTGTAGTGTCATTCATTGCAGGGTCAGGCTTTTCAGATAATAACTGTACAAAGCATCTCAGTGTTCTGTATGATCTCTGAATGAAGCTCAAAACACAAACCTTCACACCGGTACGCTTGTATGGAGGTGAACTAGGGAAACGTTCAAAGGCTCAGGACGTTACTGCTGCTTATGTGCAGTCTTACCGGTTTTTGAAAACTCCCAGACTTTGCAGTATGTTGTGTATATTTAAGTGATATTTGGGGCAGGAGTAAAATACGTTCTTCCTTTTTTCCTCTGTGCTTCACGAATACCTTCTTTGCAGAAAATCCAAAATGATACAACAATATCTATTTTCTTATACCTACTTTTACTGTTTTTACAGTAATCTTTAAAATATATGGTTTTGCTGTTCCTTACATATTTGCTTTCCTTATATCTGATAACTTCATGACTGGAAATCCATAGGAAATGGATGTTCATGGCTTGTTAACATTTTAAGTTCTTCTAAGTAGTTAAAGTTTACATCTCAATCTAGAGTTAGAAATTATTCCAGTTTGGGCAAAACAAGTAAAGGTGCATTTTCAAATCTGATTCTGAAACTGTGGAAGTGATGTGTACGTCACCTGTTTTCTCAGAGGCAGTTCCACAGTCAGCCAGGTCTTTGAAAGTCTGATTAATTTGTGTGAAAATAGATACACCATAACTACCCACAGAAATTCTTTACATCTTGCTACAGGTGTCAGAAAGCACAGGAATGCTTTTTTGCAAGAATGTATGCTTAAAAAGAAAGGTAGTTGTTCATATGGGAGAACAAGTAGATTTAAATGAGATTCTGAAAATACAACAAGCCTAAAGTAGCATGTGCAGATTTGTGAAACTGCATACCGAATGTATGTGCTCATCTGCAGTGACTGTCCATGGAAATTCTGCTTTTGTGTATGCAGATAACATGTACTTGTTTTACTGTGCCCCTAACTCACGCCCAAGTTTGTGATAAGTGATTATACAAGTCAAATAATCTGGGCATTTTTTCTTAATTAGTATGTTTGTGAACGTTCAAAACACTCACGCATGTATGATCACATATATCAAAAGACCCATCATTGCATACAGGTTGCTGAAGGTAAGTACCAGT